CTCAATCAAAATAATGATATTTTAGAGAATATTAGGCCTAAAAACTTCTAACAAAACGCACATAATCTGCAGGTGTTTTTTTTTTTTTAATTTAGGCCTAACATTTCTAACAAAACGCATGTAACCTGCATGTTTTTGTTTTGTTTTCGAAATTCCTCTCTTTGGTTTTTGTTTCTGATTTTTTTTTACTGATTATATACACTATGTACACTAAGCCGTCAACACCGACTTTTATGAGCCACGCCAGTATTTAATTTATGGTAATTTCTAATTTCTTACATGAACTTTATCTTTTTCTACTTACTGACCGAAGAACTAGATAAAACTGCTTGATATGTCTTAGAATACATGAAGAATGTCTGGTAACGATCTCAAGCAAAGTAATCAGGTCACAGTGACATATATAGGTGTGAGTCATGTATACAGTACGCACCTATAAAGCAGTGACATCACAATCTAAAGGAAGGAGCGCCAATGAAAGACAAATAATCTCCACACCTTCAATAACTCTGTTAGGCCTACGAGACTATAAAAAACCAAATAAATTGTAACCGAACTGCTAAACGAACCCAAATTCATAGTTTAACGGTGAGTCTCTAGATGGCAGCACCCGATACAACTTAGACGCTAATTTACATGGCTCCCAAATTCAAAACAGTTAAATGTTATAAGGGTTTTCAAAACGTAATACCGGGGTACACGTGTAATTAGAAGCAATTCTTAGAGTTAATATGTTTAAGTGACAACTTTAGATTAGAAATTATTACAAAAATCTGGAACAGAAAGAAAAAAAAGTTTATTCTGGTTATGATTTTTATGTCAAAATCACAATAACTCCAGCGCTATTTTATTATTCTTTAATATAAACAACACTTTAATTTACTTATGTATTATAAATGCACACGCACACTGATTTCTATAAAGTAGTTTCGGTTTCGGTTTGTTCCACGTGACGAAAGAGACAATTTGTGTATCTTAGTGCACTGCTGGGGAATCTAACCACGGATTTTAGTGTTGTAAGTCCGAAAAGTTACTGCTTTGCCACTGGAGGACAAGAGACAAACAGCAACACCGGATTTAGGCGGTACCGTACGTTAACTAGACGTAAAAGTTAGTTGAGTCATAAAACTGGCTTTAGTTCACTTATTATTTTTTCTGTGTTTTAAAACATACAGACAAACACGTGTTATTTGTATTTTTTTCTATTATCTAGGCTTAGCGTTTTAAAATTGTAGATTAAATATTATAAAAGTAATTTATGTTCTAGTTCTTTCAGTTTTTTTGGTATCACATGCTTAAATCTTACAAAAAAAGCGCATAGGAAAACAAATGAACAGTATGGGCTAACGGTCGGAAATACTCAAGTTTTTTTTCATTATCTGGAATATAAATGCTTTCTACAACTCTGTGACGTCATACGCTAGCTTCTTCGTAAGTTCCTAAAGTCAGTAATCACTCTAGGAAAATTATTTCCGCAAAAAGTAAATGTCACTTCCGGTTCTTCGAACCAACATAGATGCGAAACACTGACTTAAGGAAGTAATTTCAGTAGCGTTTCCGACGGACACAGCTGTGTATCTATATCAAATGAGGTCACCGATGTATATGGAGCTCACTAGGTCGAAATAAACGAAAGATTGAAAAACAAAACAAACACTGGTTTTCTCGAACATTGGTGAAATCAGTGACGTCACGGGTTACGTCAGCTTTTATTAGGCTCAGAATGGACAAACGGTCAGAATTAAGTTACTTTCGGATTGATAATATCACAGTGAGAGTCTTGAAGCACTCATTTTTGCTCCAACTACGACAAATCTCATATTACAGGGTGTCCGAAAAGTCTGGAACCATAGGCACAGAATGTATTCCACGTGGTGTTCTTGTAATTCGAAACGAGTTTGAATTAAAGGCAGGATTTTATGGACCTTCTCGTGCTTTGACAGTCACGTGTCTAAAAAGTTTGGAACCACAGGTGATTTGCAGCTGTTCTTAATTTCAGACACTCTGTACAGAAGGGGATTTTACACAAATAGAAATGTACGTCATTTTTTTGTTCTTCTTATCTCGTTATTCATTCTTGCTCAAACAACAGAGCAAAAAATAATGAGAGGTTCTAACTTAACATGAACATTTTATCTTGTATTTCCGGTGGTTCAGCAGTAAGCTTAAGAGTTTATAACGCTTAAATTTAGGGTTCGATCACGGTGATGGGAACGGCAGAAGTAGTTTTGTGTACAGCTTTGTGATTAACTACAACAAAGAAACCATCTGTGTACAGCTTTGTGATTAACTACAACAAAGAAACCATCTGTGTACAGCTTTGTGATTAATTACAACAAAGAAACCATTTCTCTGTTCTTTTTTTTCTTTCATAATAAAAAAATATAGTAAGTAAAAGATAAACTATTCCAACGATAGGGTGGAGAGTGAGTGTTTAAACAATGACTTATATAAAGTGTTTAAACAATGACTTATATAAAGAGTTTAAACAATGGCTTATATAAAGTGTTTAAACAATGACTTCTATAAAGTGTTTAAACAATGGCTTATATAAAGTGTTTAAACAATGACTTCTATAAAGTGTTTAAACAATGGCTTCTATAAAGTGTTTAAACAATGGCTTATATAAAGTGTTTAAAACATGATAAACAACACTTACCTTTCCGTACAAACGGTTCCCGCGACTGAGGGCGAGAAAAACGAGCAGCCATACGATAGCTAGGTTAAATGATATTTCAAACCTTAGGTCCCCCACCTCTCTGTTAGAAGAATTTCTGTCTAGTACGTTGCCACTATAAAAAACAACAACAGCGACAACTCAAGAATCGCAACCATTTACGGAGAGACAATTACCTAAATAAAGAAAGCTTCTTGCGTTTCATTTGTTAATTTTATCACACACTAGAGATGAAATGTTTTTAAGTTGTATTTTTCAATCTTATAAACTCTTCTGTAAAGCAGGGTTTCTATAGCAACGAGTGATACACAGTTTTTAAACTCTCTAACATAGGGTTTCTATAGCAACGAGTGATATACAGTTAGTAGCTTTTAAACTCTCTCTGTAAACAGGGTTTCTATAGCGACCAGTGATAAACAGTTAGCTTCTGAATCTAAGCTCTACAAAACACAAGGTTTCTCTAACAACTAGTGACATAAAGTTAGCTTCTAAACTCTATAAAAGAGGGTTTCTATCGCCAAGGGTAAAACAGTGATCATTTTGTGTCAAGTACATCAAATTTAGTACACTAGCTATTAAATTAATTTCCATAACAACCAATACACCGAAACTAGCTTATATTTTAATGTCGAAAACGTTATATATTGTCAATAACATACAATAGTTGAACAGAAACGAAGCTGTCCAATTACACACGGCCTTTTATCTACGTTAAAATACTTTTCTTTGCGAGCTTTCGGGCAACAATGTACTGAGCCATACATTGTTTCCCGGTAAAAGGGCCGAAATCTTGCAATTAAAAGTACTTTAACGTAGAGAACAGAGACTATATGAACTCTACATTTGTTTTTTAAAGGAAGACTTACTGGAAGTAGGAGGAGACAGACCAACCAACGAAATCTTTCGAAGATTTGTTTTGGCTTTCCAGACAATCTATGTAGACGAAAAAAAAAATCATAAAATGATCAAGATTGGGTACATTTATCCATGAATGAATCTACAAACTATTACTTAAACTGTGGTCCGCAAGATCTATCTCGGTGAAAAAATTTTTTTACGAACTTCCAATTGATCTTGATAGCAAAAGTTGTCTATAAATTATTGATCATATAAATAGATCAATGGGTAATTTCACTGATACACTAACCTATTTACTGTACCTAATACAGTGGCATAAAAAAATGGCTTTGGCAGTATTAGTATTTTCAACCTGATCGCACGTGGGGTAAACAGCCAGGTAAAAAAGACTCCTAAGAAACAGGTAGAGCCCTTTCCCGACTTGGATCTACTGACCAGAGAGAGAGGGCTTGTTTTGTTTGTAATTAAGAACAGAGCTATACAATGGGCTGTCTGTGCTCTGCCCACCACGGGTATCGAGACCCAGTTTCTAGCGTTGTAAGTCCGCAGACATACCGCTGTGCCCACTGGGGGGGGGGGGGGCGAGAGAGGGCATCCTTCTCCTGGTACAGAATAATGGGATTCACTTTCGCTTTATAACAAGCCCAGAACTGAACGTGCGGAGCGTGTTAAGCATTATGTCTCGAACCTTAGACTCGATACTCTAATCACCTGGCCCATCGACTTTGAAAAGTCACGTTTTGATTTGGTCGAAATTTTCCGCTATCTGTCTTTGAAAAACTACGACGCAGTGAAAATGCGAGTTATCCTGTTCTGATTAAATATGCTTCTTTAAAAAAAAAGAATATATATATAATACTCCATTGTACTGAACATAGGGATCATTAAACAATCTACTAAACCATGAAAACAGGTAAACGAAGAGCTAGTGTTGAACAGCGACAGGTGGCGAACTTTCAAGTATTTGTTAATATTTGATAATTGATTTGTTTTTGTGCGTGTTACAGAGGAGAAACTTAAACTATACAAATTAAAATTCGTAATTAAATGTACAGGGTAAATTATGCGCAACAAAACTAACTTTAGAAACACTTGTTGTTCAGGTGTTTCAATCACAAATGTCAAAGATGTTTCTCAGAAAAACTGTTGTACAGATTTAAAATAACATGAACTCTGAAAACAGTGTTTCACAGATAAGGCCTAATAGGTGTACTGTTAAAACAATACCATTAAAACATTGTTTCACAGATACGCCTAATAGGTGTACTGTTAAAACAATACCATTAAAACAGTGTTTCACAGATACGGCCTAATAGGTGTACTGTTAAAACAATACCATTAAAACAAAACAGCAGTGTTTTACAAATACAGTCTAACAACAATAATACTATTAAAACAGTGTTTTACAAATACAGTCTAACAACAATAATACCATTAAAACAGTGTTTCACAGATACGGCCTAACAACAATAATACCATTAAAACAGTGTTTCACAGATACGGCCTAACAACAACAATACCATTAAAGCAGTGTTTCACAGATACGGCCTAACAACAATAATACCATTAAAACAGTGTTTCACAGACACGGCCTAACAACAATAATACCATTAAAACAGTGTTTCACAGATACGGCCTAACAACAATAATACCATTAAAACAGTGTTTCACAGATACGGCCTAACAACAATAATACCATTAAAGCAGTGTTTCACAGATACGGCCTAACAACAATAATACCATTAAAACAGTGTTTCACAGATACGGCCTAACAACAATAATACCATTAAAACAGTGTTTCAGAAATACAGTACTTACAGTCTTGGGCGAATTGCCCTTGACATGTGCCCCACTTGTACGTCTCTCGGGACGTAATAAATGAATCTTTGAAATAGACGAAAAGCCAGGAAATAGGTACGGCTGTGTAGACTCCTAAAATTAAGTAACCATAGAGAAGAGAAAATCCGATCCCTGTTGGAAGATAAACAGGAGTTTATCAGTCATTACTTAAAGTGATTTGACAGGAAAATATGCTCAAAATTTATCTCTCTGTTAAACAGAAATTTCTACGAACTTCTTGTCCGAGTTTTAACTACTTAAAGTTACTATCATAAAAACAATCTCTAACCCCCTTACCTTTAAACGCTGGAGAAATATACCACATGTCTAATATTCCGGAACCCAGGTACTGCCCTATCGCCATCTGCAGGCAGAGAAACGGAATCCCGAAGAGCAGGGATAGGATGATGAATTCAACAATAAAACAAGCTAGAAAAGATGAATTGCTTTATTAGAAAGAACTAATAAGAATCGAATTTAAAAAAAAAAACGGTTTCATTAACATGCTTAAATAACAGTCTGTTCAAGGTGAAGAGTTCGGTGCGTAGCCTCGGACACAGTAATTTGCAGTAACGAGAGTATAGAATACGGTCAAACTGGTGTATTAAAGTGTTTTACACTCACATAAAAGAAACCTATCATTCCATAGGTATTTGAAGAACTTGTAGCATTCCGACACAATTTAATTCTTCGTATTGTTAGCCGACACTGGGCAGCTGATACACAGTTGAACAGAGTTGTTTAAACATTTGTTTAATTACAAGTAAAAGCTTGGAATGGTCCATTCTTTCAATGGGGTCTGTATCTGTGAGCCAGACTAGTTTCGGAGAATTCCACTCCTCATCAGTGACCTTGAACACTACCACCAATGAAATATCAGACCAATTAGAATACGGTGTTTGAACTTAAAGTAATTTACTATTTTGTTCGACAATAATATCATGTCGTTAAGCAATTTATGTTAGAGTAACATATAACAAATTCAGTAGTCAAGCCATTAGTATTATCAGTTTTTAATTATAACTCCAAAACGACGTGTATTTAACAATGGCCTCCATTTAGCTAAAGGAGTGGTGAAACGTTATAAGGACCACCAGCTGGGTTTCTACATGAAGAGTGTAATATATGTGGTGAAACGTTATAATGACCACCAGCTGGGTTTCTACATGAAGAGTGTAGTATATGTGGTGAAACGATATAAGAATCACCAGCTGGGTTTCTACAGGAAGAGTGTAGTATATGTGGTGAAACGTTATAAGGACCACCAGCTGGGTTTCAACATGAAGAGTGTAATATATGTGGTGAAACGTTATCAGGACCAAATAGGTTTCAACATGAAGAGTGTAATATATGTGGTGAAACGTTATAATGACCGTCAACTCAGGTTACAACGTTAGACGATTTATGTGGATTAATTCATAGTCTCCTTTAGGATGTGTGTGTATAATATACACACACACACCGGAACGTTTAAAATAATTTTATTTAGGTAGTATACGTATATACTGACAGACACACACACATACATACATAATAACAACCGCAGATCTGGAAGGTTTCAACGAGATTATACTTATTTCTAGAAGCTGCATCAATGAACTGATATATGCAATAAGCCATTCTTTTCCACGTGTTTTTTTACCACGTGTGTTTTTTAGAATGCCTTTCCTCACTGTGAAAAAGACCGGTAATAACTGGCCCCACACATACACGACTTGATCTTTAACTAATAATCAGGCAAACTGTTAAGTAAGCACGGACATTCTCGAATCAATGTTTAATCATTGATAAGCCGTTTGTGCAATTTCCTGCCACCTGGAGAATATTGCCTGGTACAAGGGGTCAGCTTATAAGACTTAAAAAGGAAGCGTCGAGTGGTAATCTAAACATCAAACACGTCATAAAACATCTCGTGAAACAGCACATACTAAAAGCTGGAAATGCCAGTCACTGAACACAGTGAAATGTGGTTTGTGCTCGTTTTGTTCAGAGCTAAACTGGCTGGAACAATGACTAAACATATATACGTACACTCATTAAGAGATCTCATTTTATACCAAGTTAAGCCTTTTCGAGTTTATGTTCAATCCCAACTGATATTTACTGAAAAGGAACTACTCCACCTGGTGTGTAATAACAAAAATAATTCTCTTCTACGTATGTTATATAGTGAAGTAATTTTCGAAACATCTGAAGAACACTATTTTGAGATTTAGCGAAGTTTCGATAGTTTAATGTGTGCTCTAAAGATATTAAAGTTTTAGGCTTAGTTGAAATATCTGTTGTTACAAGCTTGGTCCTCAGTGGACTTCGTTAGTCAGAGGACAACTTTGTCTAATTGGAAAACGCTGTAGATTAAGACTTGAGATTATCAACCGGCTGGGTCCTCAGAGGACAACTTTGTCCAACTGGAATTCCCCGTAGACTGAGACTTGTGACTATCAACCGGCTGGGACTTAGTGGACTTCGTCAGTCAGAGGACAACTTTGTCTAATTGGAAAACGCTGTAGATTAAGACTTGAGATTATCAACCGGCTGGGTCCTCAGAGGACAACTTTATCTAATTGGAACACCCTATAGGTTAAGATTTGAGACTTTATTAACCGGCTGGGTCCTCGGTGGACTTTGTCAGCCAGAGGACAACTTTATTTAATTGGAACACCCTATAGGTTAAGATTTGGGACAACTTTGTTTAACTGGAATTCCCTGTAGATTAGGACTTGAGACTATCAACCGGCTGGGTCCTCGGTGAAGTCCACTAACGTATCAGAAGTGACTGTATTCACCTAGAAAGGACTTCTGCAGGGAAAACAAGTTAGATTAAATCAACATACAAGTCTCTGACAATCACACAATGCTGACTTCCTAGCGGTGCGTGAAGAAATCTCATCTCTCGTGACGTGAACGAGACAATCACCGAAAATCTTGTCGTAATACTTATATTATCCTTGTTAATTACGCGTGTTGAACAAGACGCTTTACATTCCCTTGCGGTAGGTCGTAGAAACTCCACAAATTAGTTCATTTCCGTCTTATTATTCTCAAAATCTGCGCTAGCCGTCCCTAATTTAGCAGTGGAAGACTAGAGGGAAGGCAGCTAGTCATCACCACCCACCGCCAACTGTTGGGCTACTCTTTTACCAACGAATAGTGGGATTGACCGTAACATTATAATGCTCCCACGGCTGAAAAAAGGCGAGCATGTTTCGTGGGACGGGGATTCGAACCCGCGACCCTCAGATTGCGAGATGAGCGCCCTAACCACCTGGTCATGCTGGGCCTCAAAATTAAGGAACAACAGGGGTAGAATTGAGACTGGAGGGGGTGGGATAGAATTTGATATAGCATTAACGGTATGGTAAACTTCTACTATTAGTAGCAAGATTGTTTCTGTTGTACTTACTGGAGAGAATCGGCGAGCCCACAAAGGGTTAAAGTCTTCTTGTACGCACGCGTGAATGCTTCAGTAATTTTCTGGAAACGCGCCTGTCAAGTTTGTGATTGGTTAATGGAAACGTGAGAATAATTTCGAGAAAACTACTTTGTGATCGTTTCCAGAAATTAAAAAAGAAAAGGAAAAAGAGACGCGACAGAAACAAACACTTTAATGTTAAGTGAGACAGAACTGACTGTGTGAATCTAGTGGCCCATTTAATGTTTATGTGTGAAACAACAAAAATAATATAAAATTTAAATCCTAAACATTGTTACTCGTATATTAAAAATAAAATATTGTTTTAAAACTATTTTGATTTTGTGTGTGTGTAGTACTTTATAACTTCAACACCTTATGCGACACAAAGACATACTGATCAGGCTTAGCCAACCTTAAGTTGTTCAGAACTGCTGACTTATGCGACACAAAGACATACTGATCAGGCTTAGCCAACCTTAAGTTGTTCAGAACTGCTGACCAAGTGGGGGGGGGGGGGGACAAGTAATCAACAGAATCCTTAACTGAACATCGAAATTGACTGTCAGTTCTAATTGAACGAAAAATGCGGAGCGTACTAAGCAGCACTATCGCGACTCGAACCTTGGGCCTTTCACTTGATACTAGGCCTAGTCCGTCCCTTCAATATTTGCGAATATTTTTGAAAAAAATAATAACAGAATCCAGTTTAGTAAATATTAGCTATGATGATACTTTATAAATCTCTTTTCTGTCTCTAGAAAGAGGCTAAAACGAAATCATTCATCGGCAGTCCGTGGTCACGCGTTAGGGTATATGTTGTTAGTTAATATAAGGCTGCTGAAACCACAGTATCACCAGGGGTGGAGGGTAAGGGACAAAACAAGGCGATATTTTCTCAACAAAACTAAGTTTTTTTTTTGGTCAGAGAAACGGTCAGTCCTAGCGCCAGATTCAAACGAAATGCTACCTTTTTAATTCTAAATATATATCAGCGAATCCTAAATAAAGGTCCTCAAATCCTCATAGTTACGCGATTCAGGCCTAAGGTTTTATGTCTGTCCGTTTGTATGTAACAAAAAAAAATCTCAAACACCTTAATTTGTTTATTTTCTCATTTCAAAAGTTTGATGACCATTTCAATTTTGGATTTCCACTTTTTAACTAATCGTCTTTTTTATTTCAGATAACTGGAAACATTTCAAAATAAAACATAATTCTGAAAACGTAACGTAGTATATTTGATATCTAGGAACATTCTGTTTATATAAAGCGAAATTTCAATCAGCGTAGTGTAAACAACAGTCTGTTCAGTTTTATGTTGTTCCATCAGTCCGTTTGAGAGACCAAAAGTTTTATATTCCATCAGTGTGACGTGATGACATGCTCAAGTGTTGGTTTTATAATATAACTAAAATCTAATTTATTTTTGTAAAATCTTAAACAAACTGACTAAACTATCGTACTGGCAACAATAAAGAGTAAATTGTGCTATTGTTTGATCAACAATAAGTCGGGTACGTCAGAAACATGAAAACGCTACGAATAAAGACTATCATGTGGCTACCACGAGAGTCATGAGTACAAAGTTCTTTTTAAATGTATATACTTTAAAGAGTATATGATACATATCAATATCCAGGTATGTTATGTTTATCAATTAAGTAGCAATTTCTGTGAGACGTTTAGAGGCACCAATGTAGAGAGTTCAATAAATAACACAGTTACAGATGGTCAGAGATATCAATAAATAACACAGTTACAGATGGTCAGAGATATCAATAAATAACACAGTTACGAATGGTCAGATATATCAATAAATAACACAGTTACAGATGGTCAGAGATATCAATAAATAACACAGTTACGGATGGTCAGAGATATCAATAAATAACACAGTTACAGATGGTCAGAGATATCAATAAATAACACAGTTACGGATGGTCAGAGAGATAAATAAATAACACAGTTACAGATGGTCAGAGATATCAATAAATAACACAGTTACAGATGGTCAGAGATATCAATAAATAACACAGTTACAGATGGTCAGAGATATCAATAAATAACACAGTTACGGATGGTCAGAGATATCAATAAATAACACAGTTACGGATGGTCAGAGGTATCAATAAATAACAGTTACAGATGGTCAGAGATATCAATAAATAACACAGTTACAGATGGTCAGAAATATCAATAAATAACACAGATACAGATGGTCAGAGAGGTCAATAAATAACAGTTACAGATGGTCAGAAAGGTCAATAAATAACAGTTACAGATGGTCAGAAAGGTCAATCAATAACACAGTTACAGATGGATAGAGAATAGCTAACAGTTACAGATGGTCAGAAAAGTCAATCAGTAACACAGTTACAGGTGGTCAGATAAATCAAAAATGCAAAAAAAACAAAACAGATATGGTAGAAAGATCATTACTTACCTTTGTACAGATGGACGAGAAGAGAAAACCTTCCAATGTTATATATACCAATGATGGAACTAAAACAAGCAAAAGCACAAGATGTTTCGTGGGGCCATTTGTCCCGACATGTCCTCCTCCTCTCTTCTTCACTGACCGCGTCCCTGGGGTCAACCTCCACGTGCACTTCCTGTTGAGTTGGACTGTTTGCATTATCGTTTTCACTTTGGCCTGACTGACTGGTTGGTGACGTATTGTTGACAATGGCTGCAGGAATAGATGTTACTGGTGTCTCGTCTGTTGCAGAAGGAAAACGTCCAGGAGAACTGACCGTTATTTCTGAGTATGGTGGCGGAGGGGGTACTACTTCCTCCTGAACAGGTTCAGCTTCAGGTGAAGATGAGGGGTAATGAGTTTGTGACGATTGTTCCTGTTCCCCGGGGTTCCCCATGGTTGGTGCGACGACCCGTTTCGTTAGAAGCAAATGTAGCAATAAGCTGCCAGGTCCATCAAAACCCCTCCGTTCGAACTATGTGACACTTGGTGGCGCTAGTATCTTAGGCTTCCGAGACCTGTAGAATATCGACAAATAACAACGGGCAATTAGTACGGGGAGGCGTTGTCATAGCAACTGTTTTACAAAGCTCTGACGGGAAACGAAGAAACCTATCACGTGACGTCATTGCACACAGAGTCTACTATGGCGCACGCGCATATTTCAATTCAAAGCTCTAAACAATATTGAGATCTGGGGAGGGGGGGGGGTCGAATCTGAATTTACCTTTTTATATTCTAACACACTAGGATGAACGAGTATTTTTCCCCTTTTTTATTTATTAACAAAATATTAAACTTTCAAAATGTGTAGAAGTACGGCACGTGCAATGAACAATGTGAATATCTAAACCCGTTGCGAACAATTCAAAGCCGAGTAGAAAGTTACTGTTAAAATTGGTTGTTATTGGATAATTTCTTGATTGAGTGTAGCGAAGGTTTGTTAATGACATAGTCACGTGTGTGTTTCTCAAACATCTCGCCGGTCCGTGGGATTTCACGAGAATAAACAAAAACTGGCAGAATATTCACATGTAATTCGGAATGGTTTTTCGTTATACCTAGATTTTAGTTAGCCGCCCCCTGGTATCGAAAAGGTTGAGAAACGCTGCTACGTGCTAGAGACAACAACCTTAACCGATTCAGGCGCTATTTTTTGTTTTATGTCGAGTCATTGATGCACAGCGTTGACATATATAACAGCGAGAATGATTAATTAACGCTAATAGTACTAGAAAAATCAAACTTAGAATTTGTGAAGCGTAAAAAAAGTCATCCCATATGTTTGTGGTTAAGTACAAAGCTACAGAATGATTTATCTGTGCTGTGCCCATCACGGGTATCAAAACCCGGTTTTTAGCGTCATGAACCCGCAGACTTACCGCTGAGCCACTGGGGGGGGGGGGCATTCCATAAGTCAAGCAAGGTCGTATACAGCGAATTAAAATTGAATTAAGTATGGCAGTTTGTTAATTTTAGTGTAACATACTGTCCTAGTCTGCTCGTTCACCAAGAACATCTGAACGAAGTGTAACATACTGTCCTAGTCTGCTCGTTCACCAAGAACTTCTGAACGAAGTGTAGTATACTGTCCTAGTCTGCTCGTTCACCAAGGACATATGAACGAAGTGTAAAATACTGTCCTAGTCTGCTCGTTCACCAAGGACATCTGAACGAAGTGTAAAATACTGTCCTAGTCTGCTCGTTCACCAAGGATATCTGAACGAAGTGTAAAATACTGTCCTAGTCTGCTCGTTCACCAAGGATATCTGAACGAAGTGTAACATACTGTCCAAGTCTGCTCGTTCACCAAGAATATCTGAACGAATTGTAACATACTGTCCTAGTCTGCTCGTTCACCAAGAACATCTGAACGAAGTGTAACATACTGTCCTAGTCTACTCGTTCACCAAGAACATCTGAACGAAGTGTAACATACTGTCCTAGTCTACTCGTTC